AATTACCATTATTGCTAAAATATTTGTAACTATTTGTAATTAGCTTTAGCTATGAATTCGATTATTACTGCTATTTATTTTTTTATCAATCATTATTATTAAATATTATTATTCATTAATTATAATTATACTTAATTATAAATTCAATTATCAATATTTTTTATATTATTGTTATTATTGTTATCATTATTATTAATTATTATTGTCATTGTTATTATTATTATCGTTATTGCTATATTATTATTATTATTATATTTACTATTATTATTAGTTCATTTAAAAACGATCATCTCAGGTATTGTTGAAATTCTCATCGAGCCACCAGTAATTTAAGAAATTGTTTTTTAAAAGCAAGGTTAATAAAAATAAAAATCTTCAAATGTTCAATGTTCTTCACAGCTCATCTTCTAGAAATAGGATGAAGTATTGCAACCACCGAAGAATTAACCTACTAGATATCTCTGAGAAAATTTTAGATATCTGTTTCTTGCTGAATGGATTTATGGCAATAAAAAAATTTAAATTGAGACGCAGATATGCTGGCCAAATATTCACACAAAGGAGAATGTTGGAAAAGAAGATCGTTTCGAATATCTGCAATCCACCATCATTTCATTGATTGTATTTTACCAGAAAACATCGACAGGCCTGTGTGTATGGTCAATTAATAGATCGTTTCGAAATAAAATAAATAATAGATCGTTTCGAACTGGTGTCCGCCAAGGCTGCATCCTTTCCCCCCGCATTATTCAGCTATGTAATAGAATTGAAAATTATGCATACCGATTGCTGCTGGCACTTAACAGGTGTATAAATTAGTCTTAAGCATCATGCCATAGATCTTAAACACTCGTTGGTCATTTTTGCTGACATCTGTGACGAAATGCAAATGCTAAATGTGCCGACATTGCAACGAAGGTCCCACTCAATAATCAATAAATAGAACGAAGTTTTTTCATCTTACATGCCAGAAGTTCATAAAATACCACTTCTATCAATTCATCAGGAGCTGAGGAAGTACCAGATACTGGATGATTGACCCACTCTTATTCCAGTTAGCCGAGTGAAACTACTATAGTCCACAGTTTAAAAAGAATACTTTCTTTCTTTCGACTGACCAAATCTCTATGGAATCGAAATCACAATCAAAACGAAAGTTCACTCGTATCTATCTGGTTGCATTTCGTACCATTATGATGTGTAACATGGTCAATGAGTGAAAAATTAAAAAGCTTTCTAATTTTTGCCAATCATATTTAGGGCACATTACACATTTGCTCTTAAAAGTAAATTTCACATGACTGTATCTAGTTCTATTCAGATATCATCCACATTAAATAATACCATAGAACATGTTCTTCTTTGCCCATCGCAGACGCATATCTCGTTACTTGCTAAATATCGTGATAAATGGCATTAAAAACGAGCAGGACCAATCGAAATCTATTCTGATAAAGGCAGAATTGATCTTGAACATACAAGATACATTGATCGGAGCTAGATGATTAAAAGGAAGTGGCTCCAGTTTATTTCAAGTATGGCATCAGATCGAACGGCACGGAAACATTTTATCTTTATAGCCATCGAAGCCATCCTAACTATTGGCAGAAGATGCCTTAGTGAATTATCCAAAAGAAAGAAGCAATAACGTTCCATTATATCCGTTAAAGAACAAGAATTTAATCCATGCTTGAATTGAGTCGAGGTGCGACTCAGTAGAATACATTTTTAGAACATTAATACATTAATACACGATGAAGTTGTGGGATTGATGGAATTTCAGAAAATTCAAGGTAATAATTTAAGAAAATTTTCCATGATTTATTACTGCATGCACAAAAGAGACAAAATTTTATGGACAAAATTTTCTTTTCTCTACGACCACTCAATTATGAATTTAATAAGAAGAGGAAGAATTCATTAAAATTAAACTTACTTACCGATGTAAAACATTACCACTATGTAAATACCGAATAGCACGAAATAATTGACACATAATATATTGCTTATGAATATCCTTTAATATGGTCAATTTTTTGATGACATTGTGTAAATCTGCTTCCATATATTCAAATACCAAATAAATATCTCTTAAAATCTATTAATAAAATTATGAAAAATTAATTTTTTCAAAAAAATTTCTTTAAAAATAGCAATTTTACAATTAAGTACAATTTTTTGATCGATGCGTATTAAACTTGATACATACGAAATCTGATAGAAGAAAGAGCTAATACCAGAAAATCTACCAATGGCCCGAAACCCACAAGACTTAATGCAAACCCGAATCAGCTACTAGGCACGAAAGATAGATATAGAAGAGAATTATTTTGCTCACGAACACGGAATTAAGAAAGGAATATAATGTGGAAAAAATGAAAAACCTGTTATTATCTGCTTTTATAATATCATATAATTTAATAATGTTGGGATGACGACCGAATTCTTGCAAAAACATAATTTCCCGGAAAGTTCGCTGTGCATCGGTCTGATTTCGAAAGGCATCGAAAATTTTTTTCAGCGCTATTATTTCTTTGTTCTTTCTAAAAAGAATTGAAATAAACGAAAAGCCGATTTGTTAATTACGAAAGATTTTTATAAGCATTCTGTCATTAAAAAATTCTGGTAATGCTGGCTAGCCACTAGTATTTCTATCGCTATGACTTTGCCAAGGCTGCCTTCTGAGCTAGCACAGCCAATTTGATCAAAATATTTAATTTCTTATAAGGAAAATGTGAAAGAAATTTTTGGGTCTCGATTTCAAGAAACATTAACATTTTATACGGGAAGAGAACTGACTGTCGCTTTTTTTATTTGTTTTTCTTGGATTTCAATTAAATTTCGTGGTTTCTAATCGATATTGAAACTTTGGCGGAATAGTCATTTTCAATTTTGAATCTCCGCTGACTTTTCAGTTCAATATTTGCTATAGAGAAATTGTGCCAAATTTTTTAAGAGAATGGCCTAAACTGAAGAAAATTCTTTTCAATGCCCTATATTAAAATTATAGTTGCGGACATCCAAAGATGATGAGTGGTGCTGGAAAAAAGAAAGATGTGAAGCCATTAGAATATCCATTTTTTTTCGATTTTTCACTGGAATAAGTTTAGAAAACGACTGTTCGGAGAAAAATAAGTATAGACCTATCAACTGCCTTCCACACAATTCCATAAGCACCCTTGCCAAGCCTTTTCTGCAGTTCGTATCTATCTAAGATATAAACATCAACATCTTCTGCCATAATTTTTTGTCCAAGTTCGAATAACAGTTCAGTTCTCTTCTATTCTCCAACCTAAAATTGTTGGAGCTTTGTTTGCTTTCCCTTAAAATTCATCAAAATTGATTATTATCATCATATCACAAGATAATCAGTAAATTAATAAAAGACATAAAATAGCAGCGAAATTATTCAATAATTTGATTGCATTAATCTGAATGGCACAACAAATAATTTTTAGAGTTTGTGTCTTGCGCTATGGACATTTATGTTGTGTCTTCGTGGCAGATTATAAAAGTTCCTGGAATCTTACTTTCCTCCAGAAATTTATCAGATCTTAGTGTAATAATCACATAACACTCTAAATCGCGTTAAACTGACTCTTTCAAATTTTATTAAATTTCCCTGCCTTTCTCCTGCAGTATTAGCACTCCCAAAGCCTCTTAAACCGGCAAACATTTCACCGAATAGCTCTATGCGCTTTTGCGACAATCCGTCAGCAATATTCTCTAAGATATTTTTACACTACTTTACCATCGAAAAGCCAGCTGCAGTTCCTTAACACCACTTAACAACTGCCGTTGCTCGATGTTCTCACTTCTCTCAATGCACTCGCACTGCATGTTTGCTGCGGTTAATAAATAAATTACATAACAAATTAAATCACAACCGTAGAATAATGGGTGAATAGAGAATATGGAGGGAATATAACAGGAAGGAAGAATTGTGCAGTGGCTCGAAGGCATGCAAAGCAAATAAAACGAGTTTCAAACGAATAGTTAGTAGAGCGCGAGTTGAAGGCTTTTGTGCTTGTCGTTTGAATCGATATTGTAAATAATATGGTATGGCAGAAATCTGAAGGAAATTGGACGATGGAGAGTATCTCGGACACTCCAGAGAAGCCTATTTGAGGGAGACTTCTTGGAGACTTTTTCGCGACTCGCACCGCATTGTCCGATTGCCGATTTAGCTTATTCTGTAAACGATTTCGCTTGTCTTCGCAAATCAGCTTATCGCTCAGTTTCTCAGTTAGCTAATTTCTACTGAGCGCAGAGAAGACGAGTGGCACTTGCTTGATTACATTTTAAAAACGGTGATCCGATTTACGCTCTCGGCGATAAATTAAATAGCTCGGGTGCGGCTCGCGACCCTCCGCTTTCAGTCTTTAAATGAGTCTCTCTCTCGAAAAAGGTTTCCGTTGTTCCAACGGCCAATGCAGTGAGTAGAAGCGGAAATGCCAACAACTCTCTTGCAGAGCTCTTCGAGCCGCCAATACAGGCGAATTCAAAAGCGAAATGTTATAACGAATAAAGAAATGTGAAAAATGAGACAATTATTATTTGAGTGAGAGAAGAGGTTATTTGTTGAGTGTCTATAGCAACGGATAAACGAATGCAAAAATTCTGCGCTAAAATTTCTATTTGCGTCTTCGGTGGTTCTCTGCATTTTATTTTAGAATATTTTTTAATTTATTTAATATATTGAATTTCAATGAAATTTAAAAATTTAAAATTTAAAACAAATTTTAAAGGCATTTTTCTAAGCGCTAAAGAAGGGAAAGAAACGTAAAATTAAGAGATGCGGAAATTAAGCGATCGCCACGATGTGTGACTATTGTCTTCGATAATCTAAATTACTGTTAAGGAAGGTCATCGATTATCACTGTGAGTTTATCACTAAATGAAGAAGGCGATTCGTCGACTTAATTGATCTTTCGGTTCATAAAATATATCGTTAAAGAGCGATCTCATTTGCTCAATTAGCGATTGACTATTCGGCAGATTAATTATACACAACAACAACAATTCTTTTATAATTTTGCCCTTAATATTTCTAGATTAATACATGGGTCTGCCAAATGACAGCACCTTATCACTGGTAATTGACAACTGGTTAGCCAAGAAAACTTATGAACTCTCCATTGTTTACTGAAACTGAACGGTTAAAAAATGAACAATCTGGTCTTGAAGGGATTTTCTGTAGTCAGTATTTTTACATATCGAATTTTTCGTAGTTAAATTTCTAGCTGGGTGATTTTTGATTTTCGTGGGTTTTATCAGATTTTTCTGAGTTATATTTTTTTGAAACCTTATTTTTCATGTTTTTAATTCATTTTAAACCATTTGAAACGGTGATCCTTGGTGGTGCAGTGGCGGCGATGACTCGGCTGTGAGTGTTTTGCAACTTGTTGGCCCACTTCCGCTCTCAAAACAGTCATTGGTCAGCCGAACGCATTTTATCAAAATAATTCACTGTGAATTCGCATGTAATGGAAATTAAATGAAACGATGTACGTTAAAATGTAGCAAATTTTGCGATCTGAAACGCAGCACTGGAACTACGAACGACGAATGTGAACTTGTCGGTGAAATGCGGTACTTCGTGTTGAGTGCAGTTTGGCCAACAGCACATATGTGGAGAAAGTTCAACATAAATTCAACACTAAGAGATTTTCCCGAGCCACTAAAGAAATATATGTTCCAAGTGTAAGTAAGGTATAAGGTATATGGTCATGAGTAAGGTAATTTTCCAGTGATAATTTTGATTAAATTTGATTTTCTTTTGTTTGGTTCGTTTCGTTTATATTGCATATATTTTCTCTTTATATATGTGCTTTTATTTTTTATTATTATTTTGTTGTCTATGGTGATTCAACATGGTGATATAGCGCGGTTGTTATAGATAATTCAAAGTGATTATGAAATGATTTTGTCATTTCTCGTTGAGCTGTTCGTCGAGCCGAGTGCTGTTGGTAAAATAGAAGAAACTGCTTGATAGAGGAGCTATTTATGACATTTATTGTTCATCGTCTTTGTTTAGTCAACATTTATTGTAATATTCATTATTTATTATATTATCAAAATTAAGATAATAAAGATATAATTTCGCATTTATAAACCACAATTTCGAAACCACTTCTTATTTATTTAATTTTCTGAATGTTTTGATTTTTTAGAAACGAATGATTCACAACGTGCAGAAATTTTGCTCCTTAATACATTTAACAAAGCCTGCACTCTTCGGAAGCTATTCTTTAGGTCAGAATGGAAGTTAGAAAAACAATTTTCAGTTCAAACTTCGATGAATTGCATACGATTAACTTGATTTTTCGTTTTTTTTTTTTTTTTTGGGGGGGGGGGGGTGGTGGTGGTGGGAAGGCACTTTCTTATCGAAATGAAAAGAAAAAACAGTTATATTTTTGACTTATTTGTTTGTATATAGTCTTCTGTTTCTTCACTAAAAAACAAAGTGTTTAAAATGTTTTTAGCATAAATATTTGGTAGAATTTTTGTATATTTTTTTGTATATTTTTTCCACTAATCATTTAATTAATGTTTATCAACCATAATATGGCGTAAATCTCAAGTTATTGGCGTGACTATAATATGAGCCACAAAACTTTTATGAAAAACGATTTTTATAGGATTTTGAGAAACCTGAATGCAAGTATAGTGAAAATATTGGAGGAAAGTAGTGAAGGATTAGAAATAAGAAATAAAGGAAAAAAAGGAAATTTTTGGGAGCGGATGAAGTTGGATAGAACGGAAGTGTTAGATTTAGATTTTAAATTGCTTTTCCGATAATTCTTCGGCGATCAAATTTTATTTTCGACGAAGTGAAATTGTAGGCACAACATGGAGAATTATGAAAAGTTTAGTGAAGAGCAACATGCTTGTGAGCCTCCATTTCCCAATAATTTCATTTGTAATGCGAAGATAATGAGTTTAAAAGAAAACAGTAAGTTCAAAAATATACTCCAATACGCCGGAGATGTTCTTAAGGTATATTTTCTTTTTCTTTTGGTATTTCTCTTTATGTTTCTCATAAATCTTTATTTTTTGGTTCAAATTTCCACTCAACTTATTTTTTATTTTTTAAAGGAAGAACACAATCGAAATATTATTTTCCAAGGCTCAGGTGAAGCTATCTCTAAATGTATATCTTGTGTTGAATTATTTAAGCGAAATTTTAGGGTAATTTGTTTCATTTTTGGTTCTACGAATGTATTTCCGTTATATAATTTTGATATTCAGGACAAAACTTTTTATAAAATTTAATTTTTAAAAATTTTAATAAAATTTGAAATTTTTAGCCATTCCTGTATTTCATTATAATATTACAGCCTGTTGTGCTTTATCAGTGGAATAAAGTAATATTTACTAGAAGAACTGATTTGTGGAAATCAAACAAAGAAGAATTAAGCAAGTAAATTTTTCTATTTCTAGAATTAGTCAACTGATTTACGATTATTTTCACTGTTTTTATGGATTTGTTTTTGAACGGCTAAACCTCCATTTTTTCTTTTCATATTCCATTTCTTATAAATTTAAAATCGTTTCTGGAATTTGGTTAACGAGGTTTCTTAAATCTTATTTTATTTCAGTTTATTAGTGCACGTAGATGTTCCTACGATATTCATTCTTATATCAAAGGATCCATTTCCTGCCGAATTCGATGACGAAAGGTTTCAATAACTTCTTTTGAATCATAACTTAAATGGAGCCATAACTTATATTTTTCAGTATACAAACGTCAGATAGAGAGTACGTAACTTTTGACTATAAGAAATCTGAAAAAGAATCAAGGAACTACCGGAAATTTAAGACGTCTGCTGTGGAAAGGCGAAATCGCGAGACCAATAAATGGAATAAACCCCTTAAAACACGTAAAATTTAAATTCAAAATGTATTTATGTTTACATTTGCTTATTAATTTTTATTTCTTCATTGCGCAATTTTTTATATAAATTGTAATATTAATAGCGGAAACTATTATTTCTAAATATTTTATTCATTACAACAATTAAAAGACACCCATTTTTCACCTGTTGGAGTTTGGGAAGCTTATGGCATTTTCTGATTACAACTGATCAAATTGGAATTTTTTCTGTTCTTTTTTTCATCCCTGTTTGACTATTCTACTGTTTTTAATATTACTTGTTTTTTCATTTGTACATTTTCGTTATTTGGTTGCTAGCGAAGAGAATTCGATTAAAAAGTTCTTTTTGCCGCAATTTCGGACCAAGTATCCCACACAAATTACTTGAAAATATTTTTTTACTGAGGAGATTTTCATTAATCCGTGGTTTGTTTGCATTTTATATATGTATATTTTATTGTACTTCAATCTAATAAGAAATTCAAATTCTTGCCGCTGTAACGACATTTGTTGAAAACCGGCCAAGCAGACCGACAACGCCATGTGCTTGTATTAATAACAACAGTTAAAACAACAAATAATAAAAATTAACAATAAGAAAAAAAATATGGCAAAATATATATATATATATATATTGATTTTAAACAAATATTTTAAATCGCTAATTTAAATCGCGAGATTTACAAAAACATCATTATTAAATCTCAGTGAAGTTAATATATGCAATAAATTCAATAAATTAATTTTAACAATTTAAAGAGGAAATTACAGACTAATAGTCTTTGAAATGTGCCGTATTCTCGGCTGTTGTGGTTTGAGGGGTTGAACTATATTGGAATAGAGATATAAAACAATCGTCAACATGTAACGACATAATGAATATGGACCTAACATTATGAAAGAAGAATGATCGAAACGACCTCAAACCATAAGGAACACAGGAATGACCCTATCACAATAAAGTGCTCCGTATTAATCCTTATGAGACAGGTGGCTATCGAGGGGTCATTGCCTCTAGGGTTTATTTAATTCTGTGATGTACTGATCATTAGTTAGCGAGCTGCAAGGGTTATAAGGGTTACAGAATTCATTCGTTTTATCTGGCTAATCTTTATTAAAAAATTTTTGAGTTTTATAATCAGTTATAAGGTGGTAATGTGAGTTTTATTCCAGTCCGAACAATCTTGCTCGGGTTTTAGAGAAAGTTTTGGATTTACGGGTTTATCAGTCTTCTTTGAGACGCTTTCGATATATTGAAAATTTACAACTGGAAAAAACTAATGAAAAAGATAATGATATTCTGAGAATATCTTTGCATATATATATTTTAAAGTATGTTGAATAATTCATTGTAAATCCAAAATTCATAGATTCATAGATCTACGGCATATGCGTTCTGCAGTTCCTGGATGGGTCGTGGCTATGTTTAATTCCAAATTGGGACCAGAATCATTAGAAATCCTTAACGAACCGATAGAATTTTGTTGGGAATAGAATGGCTCAGTGGGTTATTGCTCGGTTGGGAGCGCCGATGCTGAGGTTCGATTCCCCGCAGGAATAAACCTGTACAAAAGTCCGGATGATGCTGGTGACTCACTTGTATTTGTATCGCCAAGGGACTCCATGGCATATTGCTCAATGTGACAAGCCAGTGGAACGAGTTTAACCAGCAATGGTGAGGATTCATTTAAAAAAAAAAGAATGTTGTTACACTTCATTACTCTTCAGAAATAAAAATATTGAACCATGATGAGTGACTGAACTAGACATGACTAGAGAGTCCAGGCGTTTTATTTTTTGGCATTCCCTTGCTTTTTAAACTGGATTTAGCCATGCAATGAAGGTCAAATTTCAAAAATCAAGGAGAGTTTTGGGACTGAAACTCAAGGATTATGAAGCTGATATAAGTTGGTTCTCAAAACATCAAATGTGTCTTTCTTATATTATTTCCTCTCTCGCTCCTCTTAAAAAAATTCTTTTATGTTTTAATGTGCTAATGTTCACTTATGCGCACATTGAAAAAATATCTGCATAATTATAAAACTGGTTTTATGCAAAATATTACAATATAATTCGAATTATTTGCCGAATTGCACCTTTTTATCAAGGATTTAAGAAGCTGTAAAGATATATTTTTATTCAAAAGCATTTAAGAATTAGGAATCGTGAATTCTATAAAATTCTGCGAAATTTTAACAAGTGAACATTCGAGTAAATGACGGTTCATATAAAGGTAAAGGAAAGAACTAAATATATATGCAATATAAGAGGAATATATGCTATACAGTTTAGCAGCCAAAGCTGATTATCCTATTTTATTGCGTTTAAGTTACAAAAGAAGTAGGTTTTTGCTATGAAAATTTTTCTGAAAAGTCATTAAGTGCTGGATGCTTTCAGAAATTACCAGTTTTTCTTTGCGAATTCGTAGAATTTCCGATTAATTGAATTTTGCATTCTGCAATATTATTTGGACAAATTTCTAAAGACACATAAACTTGGATCGGAAAAAATTCTTATCTTCTAGGAGTGAAATTTCCTTCAGTTAAATTATGAAATAAATTTAAGTTATCAGATGAACAATATCAAAATCTGCGGTAATATTAACTACACTTATGTACATTGTTAAATTTTATATTTTGTGGGTCCATCAGCTGTTTTCTATAATTGTCTTGTTTTCTTAAGAAATCTAAAAAATCAGTTGTTTTCATATTGCGTTGCGTTTTTTTTCACTTTATTTTATATACTTAAAAGAAACGATCCTTAGGCTTCAAGAAATTTCCAGTGGAATACTAAAAAGATTAATGAAACTGCTGTAAAATATTTTTTTAGTCATTATGAATGAAAAAATGAAGTTTCAGTAATGGTGATTTAATAAAGATTTACAAATATTAATCAATCAAATACTTGATTAAATTCTATAAATTATAAATGGACTCGGATTTTGGGAAATCTCAAATCCGAGTCCATATAGTTATTTTTCGATCTTGCCATATAGCGAAACATGGTCAATGAGAGTGGAAGATATTAAGAAGCTATAAACCTTTAATCACTCACGTCTAAAATATATGTTGTGGGTCCGTCAAGCGGATAAAATATGAAATGATCGAATCCACCATCGTTCAAGTACCACTTACATTGATAATGTTATCACAGAACGTCGTCTTCACTGGTTAGGACACATTCTCCGTCGTCCACCACAGGAGTTGACGCATATTTCGTTACTTGCTGTGATGGTTAGCGTCAGAAGAGAGAGAGCCAGTCAAGACCTGAACTGATATGACCAGGAAAGATTTTGAATTTATAGGTGGATCAGCGATATATGGACTCACACGATGGAAAAAGTAATGGCTTCTTTTATTGTCGACGATGACATCAGACCGCTTCTAAGTGCCTTACTCTTATAGCCATTGGAGCCAGCTTAACCAGTAATGGTGAGAGCTGTTAAAGTATTTTTGAAAAAATTCTCCTATTGTTTAAATTATAGCGAAAATTTTATATTTATTCGATGCTTGCTGGATTTCTGTAGTCATATTAATTGTCACGGTTAAGGTCGAGTCGATCGAGTCTCGTTTCTTCTTACGAGAATAAACCTGAATTAAAATTGAAATTTCCATGATGCTAGGACCCATCCACATTTCCATCCTTAAGTAACAGTTGGCAATCCTCATGCTGTTAGCTCCAAACTGTCCAATTTGGAAATGGTAAGTTCTATCAGAAGAAGACGAAAAAAGTACAATTCAAATTTAATGCATAATAAAATCTTTTAAGTGCCTTTAAATTAAATATCTATTTATCATAAATTGCTTCATTTTTCCACTAAGTCAATCGTTATTATCAGAACAGTTAATAATTTTTTAAATTTAGGATGTATAAAATCATTTAACAAATTTATTTAAATTTATATATCGAAACAAAACTTTAAAGGTTTCTTCGAAATTCACTGTTTTGTTCATATAAAAATCAAAATCAAATTTCTTATTCTAATGAAAATATATATTTTTGCAAGAGTGGTGCAAAGATTTACCCTAAGCAAGGACACACATCGTTCAGTTTTTTTGAGAATTTAAATTTAAATCCATATGGTATTAACCAGCTGATTTGATGGAACTTTCAACAATTCGGAGCCAACTCACCCACCTATTTAAAGCGACTCTTAAGCAGAGCAATTCTGGTAATCAAGCTGAATCAGCAATAGTGAATGATAGTGATTAGAAATTAACACAAAATTTTCTTATGGTTTCGAATTTTTTTTGGAATAGATATGGGAGAGGTGGATAGATATTATGGACAAAAATTGCTGAACCTGTTGCAATTTTTTGATCAATTTAACCATTCAAAATAAATTTGGTGAGCCTTGTCCATTTGAAATGTTTTTTGATTCAGATTTTTTTTACCTAACGACTTTTTTCCTTATGTAATATTATGCTGCCCACTTCAAATATCGGAGTTTTACATTGTTGGTGGCACATTCTATAGAAGCAAGAAAAATCCAGTACTATTAACAAG